TGCACATTGTCCTCCAGTTCTCCATCAGATATACCCCTTCCTCGTTACTAATGGTGGCTGGTCAATAAAGACTCATTTTAAATCTGTTAATAACACAAATGTCGTTAATATGGCAAAAGAATATGAACATTATTATTCATCCATCCATTATCTATACACCGCTTAATCCTCACTAGGGTCGCGGGGAGGCTGGAGTCTATCCCAGCTGACTTAGGGTGAAGGCAGGGGACACCCTGGACAGGTCACCAGTCTATCACAGGACCACACTTAGAGACGGACAACCAAGCACACCATTATTAATCATTTCATTATTATTTTGTTATAATTAATTCAAACTTAATGTTACGTTTGAGAACTACTTTTTATCTGGTAATTAATAGTGGGCCGGCGCCCCTGCGTCAAATTTCTTTTATTGTCATTGTAATGAGTACAACAAAACGTCCCGTATGGTCCCGTATTGACCAGCCGCTACTGCTTGTTTCTTACATTTTTTAAAGACCAAGATAGCAGCGCTTGAATTCCAGCCTCAAGTATTAAAAACCGCAAACCAATGGGTGATGCCACGGTGTTGATCCTTTACATAGAGTCTATGGTGTCTGCTCATATTTGGGTCGGACAGGACATGGGCTCCCTATACCACGTCTCCATTTTTATACATCCTACTATGGGCTCAGCTGAGACCAATGCTAATGTACCTTTGTGTTTGGAACATGACAGTTTAAAAAATGTCGAGGCTTACGTGCCCTTGAGTGTTTTTATTTCAATGGATGGGGCGTCATCTCTTAATCTGGTTTCCATTTCTTCTTCATACATCCATTGTCCCGAAGAGGCAGCACCTCATGCAAAGATAACATCAGCATGAATTTTCAGTTTTTCTTAATTCCGACTGTTTGTAACGTCAACGTGAACAAAAATCCTTTTAGGATAAAAAAAAATAAAAATTCCAGAACAAAAAACATGCCAGATATACTACATTAATGCAAAAACATGAGATAATTAGAGCAGATACAGGCTTCAGTCATACCAAACAATGCCATAAATGCTTTTATTAAAAAATATGAATATTTATTAACCAAAACTTAAAAATTTCTATACCTATTAATACATCTATTTCTAAACATTAATAGTGTCCTATTAAATAAAACACATTTTTTTCTACAGGTTTCTGTGCAAATCTGTCCAACACTTTGTCAAAATCTTGAGCTCTGATCAGATCGCTGAAGTTAATGGTTAATTCTAGACTCCTGGCTTCGAGGTGCCAGTGGCAGATTGGTTACGAATGTTGGGTTCAAACAACTCTTTAAAAGCTATTTTCTCTATCTGCATGTCTCGATGCCACTGAACAGGGAAGTATGTTTTTGTCAGTATTTTGAGTTCCACAAAAACCACTTGAGCCTGCGCTACTGAGAGATGTTAATACCGGGCCCTTAGGTTTGAAATGGATGGGGAGGTCAGCGGTCAGTGAGTGCGCTTCATTAGTTTGTGACTGTGATTGGCTTGCAGGTATAACGCGCTCGTCCAAGTGACTTATGGCCGTAATTTAGCCTTGATTACATATACCATTACTTTAACTCTAATTAGATTGTCACTCAGGGCCAGGATGAAAGATGCAGTCAAACCGGCTGCAAGGGATTCATACTAAAAAAGCAGGCTTGCTGACAAATATGGTGATTTGAAGGGAGCGAACACTGCACCAAAAACACTGCTGAAGTTTCTGAAAATTGATGACAGCAGCCGGAAATGCGAAGTCATAGAAATCTCATCAGAAATACAGAGTGACTCATTTATATTCTAAAAAAGAAAAAAAAATAAACACTTCTAAAAGCTCTTCATTTCATACATCGTGATGCAGGAGTGTATTAATCATCTTGCTCCCTCTCTGTGTTGGATAATGAATCACTGCCCGGGCTCTGGCCCTGACCCCGAGGTCACGCTTTTATAGACGACCACTTCATCACGGAACAATCTGCCGGGCGACTGCAGACAAAAGACGCACAACCTCACCTGATGACCTTGTCTCGTGATCCATGGAGGGAGGTTGGAAAACAGAATAAACAGAATATAATAGCATATACATACAGCTGTTCATCACGGTGGCGCGGCGGTGTATAAACTTGATTCTTCCTCTCTTCATAAATGTTTGTCATGTCAAGGTGGAGAACAGGATACTTTAGGGTGACTTTGGTGACTTAATTGTTATTAAGCACTGAGGGCACGTAAAGATTTTCTTCTTTCAGGGTCAGTTGAGCTCTATATAGAGCTTTTACTGGGCTGACATGAGCCGGGTGGCTCAGGACGTTTAAGGGAAAACAGTCTCCTTAGGCACTAACAACTAAATTAAACTTAATGAATGGATATTTTTTCAAATTTTACATCACAAATTTCACATCAAAAAAAATGTGTAAAACTAATAAAAAATAAACTAAACAAAGAACTAATAAATGATCATTTGAATATAAGACAAATCTCATGGTACATGCTACTTGAGCTTTCATGATGTTTTCTTCAAAGCATTGCTATTTCCTGTACACTTCCATTGTAGCTGTTGTGGTATTTATTTATCACCAGTTTAGGGGTCAAATGCACAACTGCACACAAGTTACTAATCTGTTCAAATAATGCATGAACGCTCCAAAGTTTAGGTTTCTGGTTGCTGTCATTCTCCCAACATTGTATGAATGCACTGCAGTGTCCCTCTAAGATGTTTTTGGATTTAAGATACTTCAACTGAGTGCAAATCCAAACCAGTAAAACTGGGCACCACTCAGGCACATTTTGTGTATAATGTCCACTTGCTTTTGTGTAATTTTAAAGTGTTAAAATAACACAAAATGATTAAGGTAACGGTAAATTCTACAATGCAGTGACCCAATAAGGGCATTTACCGTACAGGTGCCTTCAAGCAGAGAGTCACCACTTCAGGTCCTGATTGATCCGGACCGTTACTGGATACCAGTCTAAGGCTCTCTTTCTTTACATTTCCTCACTCTCTACCGTAAGTGTCCAACAAAGGAGAAAAAAAATCCTAAAAATAAAAAAATTCCACCTATCGTGTCATTATCTTCAGGTTTATTCATGTCAGGCTGTGGTCTGATCCCACTATCGTCTTTGAAAATTACCATTTGTACTCTGGGTCAGGTATGTTTTCCACACGTCTGTTTTTCATCTTGTACCCATAGGGACCTCTGCTAGAGTGGCTCAACCATGGCGCTCTACCAAACTGTTTAGAGGACCATTAAAGGGGTTGATGACAATGAAAAACATGTTTTATTCTATAAATTCAAACATCCTCAGCTGCACTTGTGTTAAGCATTCAACCCTCTGGGTTTAGCGAGGAATTAATCTGCCCAGCGTGATGGAAACTGGTCAATAAAGTGTTAATGAGACAGAAAACAGCATGATGATACAGGGACTAATAGTGCTCCATTTTATCAGACCAGATTAGATTATCTTTTCACTCAGCTTGGGATGAAAAGCACAAAGTCATGGCATTTGAATTGTTTTTCGCTGTCAAAAAAATTGTGTACATCATCCCATATCTGCCGTGTAAAGATTACTGTAACTCTTATCGCATGTGGTGACTGGTTGGCTTCCCTCTTTATAGCAAACAGAAGAAAGGACGTCCAAATAGCTCAAAGTTTTATCTTGTTGTTGAAAAAAAAAAAAAAAAGAATGGCGGATCTTTTTAGTCATCTCAGGACAATGCAGTGGTTTTATGGCACGGGTCACATCTGCTATGGGATAATGACAGGGGTAAGCCAAATGGAACATGAAGTATGTGCGTATCTGTGTGAATGTGTGTGTGTGTGTGTGTGTGCGTGCGTCCGTGCACGTGCGGTTGGGAGGGGGAACTAATGAGTCTCCTATGAGCTATTACCCGTACCTTAGCTCGCACTCTGCAATAATAAAAGCCAACATTGCAGAGCTCCCTAACAGGAGACTCCAACACTCATCTGCTAATGCAAGTGATAAATGAAGTGAGAACCACGTCTTGGATCAAAATCTGTAACTTGTTTCTTTTAAAATGTTTTGTCACTTGTTTAAAAATGAAGCATCTCTAATGAAAGCCCCATCCGAGGAGTAGTAGAATCACTGCTTATCATGGTGTGGATTCCTTTTGAAGGCATTTTTTGAATGACTCGCTGAATGTGGGTTCATACAGACTGGCATTTGGGGTCAGGATCAGCCCACTATTGGCAGCTGCCCTTCCTAGTCTAATGCTGTCTAACCACTAAGCCAATTAAGCCATAGGTCTTAGAGTGTCAGCTGCGTGTGATAAACCCAAATCCAAATGGCACCAATACTTGTTTACGTATTGATCCTCTGATCAGAGTATTTTGAGAGGTGTACTGGTATTTGTGAGGCTATCAGAAAGAGTGGGCTCATAGAGGATGCAGAAGAATATATGACAGAATGTAAAGCACTCAATCACAGTAGACAGGAGGGATAATGGCACATGTGAGGTGGTCTGTGCTCCATAGTCTATCCAGGGCCCCCCCAATAAATAATACTGGAATTAAACGCGCCTCAGGCCATGACCCTCCAATCAAAGGTATCTGAGGAGAGACAGGGAGACACAGAGAGAGGGAGAGAGATCCCTGGGTCTGAGATGAGCTGTGGTGGAGAGAGGCAGAGTAATCCCGTGGAGTGGAAAGAGAGAGAGAGAGAGAGAGAGAGAGAGAGCGAGATCCCCGCAGTAGAGCAGCTCGGATATTAGAGCTTTATTCTTCTCCCCACGGTGCTCGGATGGGCGCGTAAGTGGACGCACAGCCTGGATGTCACGCAAAAACTAGTTCCACTGATTCACTGACGCTGACTGATTAGCTGGTTCGGGCCGGAGGGGGGCTGTTCAGTGCGCTCCGGACGCGCAACATGAAGCAGGAGAGCAGGTGAAGCTCGCTGACTGAGACTCTCCAGGAGTTAGCGGGATGTTCACGGCGTTAGGATGTGAGCTGAACTTGTGGTAGAATGGCCCCTTATCCCGCATGGATCTCTGAGGGATGGCAGCTTTTCACCACCACAACCATCATCCCCACCACCATCCGAGCGCGGACCTGCGGCGCCTCTTCCACCGGCTCACCATCGCATCCTCTCTGAGCATCCTGTGCTTCTCCTTGGTGTATCTCCTCACTGGATGCTGCGAGTCGGAATTGACAGAAAACTCTGAAATCAAGCCACCCGCGCGCGAGTTCCTCGTGTCTGGGTCAGGATGGCCGTACGAGAGGAACGGAACCGGCGCTGCCAAGGAGGGTGCCACCGCGGCTGGAGAGGTCGCGCTCAGCAGCGGTCCTCCCGGGCTGGAGGCGAACAGCTCCGGGAAGGAGTGGACAGCCACCCGGAGGTTACCCCAGGCTCTCATCATAGGGGTTAAAAAGGGAGGCACCAGGGCTCTGCTGGAGTTTCTGCGGCTCCATCCGGACATCCGCGCCCTGGGATCCGAGCCGCACTTCTTCGACCGGCATTACGCACGGGGATTGGACTGGTACAGGTACGCACACATTACGCAAGGAATCCAACTTAGAAGCAGCGATGAATTTACGACTGAGTGTTCAAAAGAGATTGCTTTTTCTTTTAAAAACTAGATTGACTGTATTTAAAAGAGAATATGTCTTACTCTGGCTAAAATGTACAATTTTTGGTTAGAAAATTATACATTTTCTCACTTTCCCCCCCCGGATTTAAATAAATAAATAAAAATCACAACGTGCCACTGAAAGCTCAGTTGAAACCTGAGTGATTCGGTGACTCTTCTTTTAATTTAGACAATAGACTTTGTGCAATACGAAGTTTTTTTTTTATTACAATCAAACAAATGAGGAACCTCCAGCCTTTGCTTGAAGACACGAATCTCTTTGTGGTGTTTGCATACCCCAACATACCCACAGCTATTCCACAGAGGTTTAGGTGACAGTCAAAGAGACTGTGCCATCTGGCTATGACAATCTGTGCATGCGTACATGTGTGTGCCTGCAGTGTGTGTATGTGTGTGTTTGTGTGTGTGTGTGTGTGTGTGTACAGTATGGAGGGAGAGCGCAAGAGTTCTCACAGAGCAGCAGAGTAATCATCTCTGGAGCCGGAACCAGATGTTACTGTTGTCATGTGGCTCTGTTCTCGGCCTGTTTCATGAAAACTTGGAAATACTCAGACAACAGACACACATTTAGGAGGTTTAGAGGAACCAGTTCTGATTGGAGTCATTCGGAGTCATTCAGTCGATGCTGGATTTCACATGTTTCAAGTTAATTCTGCTTTCCTTTTTCTTGTTCTAATGGTGCCTCGTGTAAGTTCCTGCACCTATAGACCCACAAACTGCTCCAAATATGACAGATTAAAAATGCATCCAAATCGGGACTGTGCGGCCTGCAGTTAACCAGCTTACAGTACAGTATTGGCTCAGCTCTACCAGCCTGTTTGGCATGTCAGCCACAATTTAACCTATGACAGAGATAAAGTGAAAGGATGGATATCTGCTTCCTGGGTCCTGCTTTTACGTTGATGTGACCTCACACACACAGAAACGCAAATCACCCACGTCAGAGCTGTGGGATGTAAATAGAGGGAGAAAATGTAGATAATCAGGAAGTAGTGGAAAAGCCGCTGCCGCCTCTTGTGTCTGCCAGCGTTCTGCTCTGTGTGTGTGTGTGTGTGTGTTTGTGTGTGACACTCGATGATGTGCATGTGACAGCAGATTGTCACGTCCTCCCCTCGGACCAGATGGGCCTCGCTGCATGTCGAGCCACTTGACATCACTGTCAGCTCTGTCAATTGACCTCTGACTCCAGGTCACTTTACGTTGGGAGTTAATGATGTGTTCACACTAGTTCATAACAAACAGTGCACACCCACAGTACACAGACCGACAAATCACACGTGTGTCTTTGTTTCTGATGTTTTGGGGAATAAAAAAAGGTGGAAAATTATTTTCAACTTTTGTATATGTAAAAAAAATCTTTATCAAGCAGGAGAATATTTGTAAAAGCAGAATTACAACAACGTTAATGTTTTCAGTTGTGATAGAGGTACTGGAACATATGACAAAATCAACACAGGACAAAACAACCAGATGACCAAACCACCTCCTGTGGAAGAAAAACCAAATCAAAGCTGAACCAGAGCTGAACTATGATGGGAGACTCTTAACAAACTGTACGAAGTGACCGGCTGAGCTAATGCTAGCAGGCTAATGAGATGCTTGTAACCTCTACCAACTACAGCTGTGCTTCCATAAATAACTTGTTGGCTGAATTAATTAGACTCTTATATAGTGGTATGACTTTTCATCATTTATGTCTGTAGCAAAGTCCGTTGCTGGTTTCAACAGACATAAGCAGTGTCTCTATTATGAATTTTCCACGCGCATTTTGAAGTATTGTAAGTTACTCTTCGCAAAAAGTTTGTTCTCTCGAAAAATGGTCAACGCTCATATTGGATATGACATCAGATGACTCATCAGATGTTTCCACTTCTTTCATTGTCTTCGCCTTCAGACAACATGAATGTTTTTGCTAGCTGATTCTATAACATGTCTATATGCACATTTTAAAGTACTGCATAGAAAAGGTTAAAAGAAACAGCAAAATTCATAAACAGATACTCTTTAAAATATTGCTTGAAGTGGGTTTTGATGCTTTAAGTTAATTAAAGATGAAAAAACTCCAACTTTGCTCCAACAAAGCTCCAACTTTGTGAACATTCAGCTTAAATGACTGATTAACTGCTTTGTTGTCTTCACCTGTGGACAGCATGAACAGGGCCAACACATGCTGATGTGAAAGAATCATTACAACTTGCCTGAATGAATACAATTCCTGAAAACGTCTCACTAATCTCTAAGAGTTTTTTTTAACAATTAGGATACAACTGAATTAGTTTCCAGCTTTTTAAAATCAGTTTATTATGGCCATGCATAATGTGGCCTATACCAGCCCACTTTAAAGATGCACAGTCTTGTTTATTCGCTTGTAAGAAGTCAGTTCAGAGCCTGAAGCTGCTTTTCAAAACTTTGATTTAAATTTACATGACAATTATCTGGCTCCTGTTTGCCCTCATGTTCTTTTCCAAACAAGTCTAGCCAACCTGTCTGACTCTTTGTGTTCCGTGCCACGTAGTCCAATTCCAGTGTTACTCATATGAGTTATGGCCAAGAGCATAAAGTAAGACCCAGGTCGTAATGAACCAGAATGATTCTCGAAGGCAAAAGTGCAAGTTTCATATCAGCAAGCGGAGGCTCAGTGGCTCGACATGACATCTGTGTGCGGATGCGTTTTAGTTTAGACCCCTATCGCTTCAAAGTGAAGAGCATGAGCCGCAGTATATCTTCCACAGAATCACTCTTTCTCTGTTCGAGAGTAGAATAACATTTAGCTTCAGCAGGGCAATTGAGATCAGAGCCCCTGACAAAGATCCACTAATGGTGTTTGGAGCGGAGATTGGATCTGGAAGAGCGCTGCCATGAGCCTCAAGATGCACTGGAAGTTTCCTCCTCACTGCGCTGTCTGGGATCGATAGCGCTATCTCCTCGCTCTGACCTTGGGTTGACTCCAGCATTAGAGCGGTTAGCGTTGGTCAGCTCGGCTTCTGTTACAATTAGCAGGAAGCTTTATCCTACATTGGCATAACTCTCCCCCCTCTCCCTCATAGGCGCACAGGGGTCATGTTACACTCACAGCTTTTTCTCTCCGTGCAGCTCTGGAGGAATCCATTAAAATTGCTCAGCTGGAAATTCACATCTCACTCATGATGGTTTCTTGCTGAAAGATGGCATGACAGGCCAGCGGTGGAAAAAAAAAAAAAAAAAGACAGATAAAATGGAAGGAGACGAGATAAGGCTTGGGTGAGCTGGAGGTTAAGGGTGAAGTCAGTGTTACCGCAACCTCACACATCTCTGCTGACCTTTGCTTCAACCCGGGGGACTGTCATCAGAGCTGGCCTGTGTGTGTGTGTGTGTGTGTGTGTGTGTGTGTGTGTGTGTAATAGCTGACTTCTTCTGCAGCTTCTGTCACAGTCTGGGGACTGTTTTGTCCTCCAGACAGCCAGGCTGGTTGTATTTTGTTCTTGAGCTACAGTGAGATTTATCAATATATTATTGACTCTAAATTACTGGCACAGCTTTAACCGGAGAGGTTACATTTTCAGTTCCTTCCAAGAAGTCCCAAAAAAAGAGAAAAGACAAAGGAAAAGGCATGTTTCAAAATAAAAGAAGAAGCAGGCAAAAGCTTTGTGTTTGGAGGCTAAAACAACATTGACATGTAGCTTGCTGATGCTAACGTAAAACTGTTTGTACTTTAAAACATACTATTTTTTTTAAAACAGTCTATTTATTAAAGACTCCAGTGTCCAAGTGACTTTTTAAAATGTCATTCTTTGAAAAACCTTTTGTAAAAGGCCTTTAAGCTTGTATGACATTCATGATGTTGTGCTAATTGATTAATGCTAAAGAGAAATAGAGCTAAAAATGATAAATAACGAATGAGTTCATTAACAAACACACCACTAGGCATGTTTTCATATAGTTTTCATCATTTCTTTTTATATGTTGAGAAAAGAAATAAACAAATATGGTGGAAAAGTCTTCCACTAATTGCTTTAAAATGAATAAACTGACTGTTGTACTGTTGTCAGAAGGTGGCGGTACAGACTTTTCTTTGCCTGACTGTAATCAACAAAGAAGTCAGAAACAAAACAGATTGTTTTCCATTTGCTAAAAAAAAATCTAAATAAAAATTATGAAGACACAAACAAAACTTTAGCCATCTATGAGCGAAAAATGGAGAGTCTTCAGGAATTGTTTTTACTAGAGAATGCTCTAATTATTCTTTTGTGTTAGCGGCTGTTGGCCATGTTTCATGTTGTCTGGAAAACAGCTGATCAGTCATGTGTTTGTTTGGTTCAAATGTGTTTAAAAAGCATTTCCATCTGAAAATATGCCATTATTATGTTGTGTTAAAAGCTGTTAAGAACCTTCTTAAGTGAGCAAAAAAAACCCCCAAAAATGGTGAAATTAGGGTTTCTTAGAATTACTTGCCATTTCCTTTAACCTCTTCTAATAGAATCCTTCAAAATGTGCATAAAAATATGCTTTGAAAAACAGATAATGTAGATTTATTTTGAAAAAACTAGAACCCACGCTACCACTGATCGTAGTAAATGAAGCAACAAGCTAATCTGCACAGCTTCCATTAGCATTAGCCCAGATCCAGCAGTTTCATTGCTTTTTGTTTCATTTAAAAAGCACAATTGTCTCTTTGACTTAATTTAGTCATTCGGATTTTTTGGCTGTTATTTGTCCTGTACAAAATCTTCCATTCTACCAAATATATTTTAACAATATTTTTACCCTCCTCTCCAGTTAGCATTAGCCAAAGGTTAGTCATGAGCTGAAAAATTGCTGTAGCTAGAGTTTTGTTCAGCATTTTGCTGGTTTTGAGTATATATTGTCTGCTTCTCCATGTGGCCCAAGTCTTTCTGATCCTGTTAGAACCACTTTCT